TCTTCTTTATAGCCGTTGATGAAGACTCCACGTTCGCTCCAATCGCTCCAATCGCAGGTAAGTCTTTTCCTCCTTAGCACCTTCTTCTTCGGCCAACTTCCCCCTCTATCCCAATCTAACTCCTCTTCACCTCAACTCTCGCCAGCTATACTCAAGCCAACTTATCCTTCTCGCCGGCCTTGATCATGCCAGCGCGTCCAGTGAGAGTAACAAGTTCTACTTTGATACCAAATTGCAAGGAACCCGACTGTTCATCACTTGCTGAAGTGCATCCGATCACATGCATATATACAAATTTCACAGATTGCGAAGTCCCACACAAAACCCAATAGAAGATGAATGTGAACCAGGAAGCTCAACTCAATTATCATAACGAGATTAAGAGAGGAAATTTGTGAGTCCAAAATGTATAGCGCTGAACAGAGTTATAAGTCTTCTTCGATCAACATGAGTTCAAAGTCTGGCGCTCATCAGCGCCAGCTGCCAAACGTCAACAACAACGCTCAACAGGTAAATGTCACCATAGCTCACACTTCCCCCTCTCTCGTTTGTCTTCTTCTCTCTCTCCCTCTATGTCTATTGTCTTGGTCTACTCCCACTACTCATGAATGCTCACTCCATATCACACGACGATCTACTTTGAATACTACTCACTGAATTCTCCTACTAACTATCCCTACTAATGTACTAACTAGCGCTGGCGCAATTATGGTTATCTTCCCTCTAGCCAGCACTTTCTTCACTCTCACATAGCGCTGCTCTTCAGCCTAGCGCAACCCACACACATCTGATGCACAAGTGCCACGACACTTCCACACTCTCATACAAAGTGAGCATCTATCAAATGGGAGGCTGGTCAGTCTTTTATGGTGCTGGACTGGTCTGGCGTGCCCCGCATTTAGCCTCAAGTGTCTGGGACTCCTGCCCAGTACCCGTTGTTGCAAAGTGTGTGTCCCAGTATCTTTTCCCATGGTCTGCTGCTGCTTTGGGCCATCGGGCCTATCTTTTGGACTCCTGGTCTGAATCAGGACTGACTCGTGGGATAATGACTGGACTGGGACTGCGGCCTTTGACTCCTTGTCGAACAAACATGACTTTCCATCGAGGAGACATGACCCTAACTCTGTCTAGAAAATTGTGTTCAATACCTATTAGTGCACGACCTGTTTGTGACTGTTCAAAACGACTTTTCATTTCATTATGGATGTGGCATTTGCCTCAGAAACTGTGTCTTTTGGGTTGCAGCTTGTGAATTTAAGTTCTGGCCGACAGGGCCCCTCGCTGTTGCGGCATTCATTTGGGGTCTTATACGTAAAGGCCCTTTTACTGCAGTTGGCTGATTTTCAGGTAATAGAAAGCCAAAAGTAGATCAGGGCTTCCAACCAAGATGCATCTGGTTGGGGGTCTTACCGGTAGTGTTGTGCACAACATTGTTGTATAGGCTGGCGATGAGAGGTAACTTCTCATCCCAGTCATCTTGACGTGGCTTAATACAATGCCGAAGCAACTGCTGCATTACACGATTCATCTATTAGGCCTGCCCATTTGACTCAGGGTGGTTCCCTGATGCCATATGCAGTCGGGTGCCCATGTGTTGGGCTGTATTTTGCCACAGTTCGCTAGTGAATCTCACATCTTTGTCGCTCACAATAGACTTAAGGAGACCGAAGTCATGTAACCAGTTGTCCATGAATAGCTTGATGATGTGGTCGGTCCTAGTTGTCTCAGGCATAGCGACAAGTCTAGCATACTTACTGAACCTATCCACAATGACTAAGATGTGTCTCTTACCGCTCTTGCTGGTCACAAGAGTATCCATGAGGTCCATGGACACACTCTAACGAGGTCCAGTAGGGATAGGAAAGGGCTTGATACTACGAAACACCCTCGGCGGCGGACAAGCGCGACCGAGTCCGCCACCCCCGCGGACGCGTAGTGGCCGGTGGGGAGGGGGGTTGGGGATTTGGAAAGCGCCATGGGTCGGCGCANCACTCCCCCAAAGCCCCCCACAACCAACGAATGGCACGCGTAACACAGACGAAAATCTTTTTTTTTTTTATTATTTTTTTATAATTCAAAAAAAAAATCCTTTGGAAAAAAATAAAAATAAAATAAGCAGGTGCTCATGGACATCCACAACACACCTGTGAAAAAAACGCGCGCCCCCTCCCAGCAAAAAAAAAATAAAAAAAAAACCTTCTCACTTACCGTGAACTCAATAAACTACGGCCGATCACAAAAATCGTGACCGGTGACCGGCCTTCGTTCATGGACCCCGTGAACTGTGAACGGGGCTACATCACTGCCTACACCTATCATGTCTATGTTGGCATACACAAGCACGATCACTGACTGTCAATTGGTTGATCGTATAAAGTGTTATTTTCGAACTAAGGAAGAAAATAAGATTTTGCATGAAAAATCCTTCCTGATTGAAAAGAACTTGCCCTTTGACAGGATTTAAGGAATGGTTTGGCACGAGGAAGCTGTTTAGACGTCAAGTTCTAGAAAAATATTGTTAAGCTAAAGGACGAAAAGTTCGAACAGAAAGCAATCAAACTGTAATACAGGTCGCGATCTTACTCATTATTGTCTTTTTTTTGCATGATTTATTCGACCTTTAGATCAATGGTTTCAAGGAAGAAGTTGGATCCGGATGTGATGATGGTGCTCGTTAAAAGAGTAGGGGAATGTTCCTCATCCTACCCACCTTCTATTGAAAAACTTCTAACTAAGTTAAAGGACTTGCAGACCGAACCAACGTGAATCATTGAGCAAGCTATAAAACACACCATTGAGATTATTTCCGGAAGTAAGATTCAGAAAAAACCCATCTATCGAATGTCGTATAGGGCACGAGAAAAATTAAAAAAACAAGTGCAAGAACTAACTGAGAAAGGATGGATTCAAATAAGTTTATCTCCTTAAGGAAGAAGACCTTAGGCTATGTACTACGAAACACCCTCGACGGTGGACAAGCGCGGTCGAGTCCACGACCCCCGCGAACGCGTCCGCTCAGACGCGTGGCGGCCGTTCGGGAGGGGGGTTGGGGATTTGGAAAGTGCCATGGGGCGGCATATCCCCATCCCTACCCCCTCAAAAAAAAAAAAAAAAAAAACTCATTATATGTGGGGGGGGTTGCATTATTGAAGGTATTTCGTTGATTGATTGATTGGCCCCACAGGAGCACACACACATAAACACGCAACTAGGATTGTATATTCCCATGTCCTAGCAGAAGATTCATTCGATTTTGCTTTTTTTTTTTTCATTTATTGATTGATTGATTGGCCCCACAGGAGCACACACACATACACACGCAGGTAGGATTGTATATTCCCATGTCCTAGAGGAAGATTCATTCGATTTTGCTTTTTTTTTTTTCATTGATTTATTGATTTATTGATTGATTGATTGATTGATTGATTGATTGATTGATTGATTGATTGATTGATTGGTGGGGGCGGGGTCGCCCCCTCACCCCCCACAAGCGCACACAAACATACACACACACACACGAAGTACTGTATATTTCCATGTTCTAGCAGAAGATTCGTTCGATTTTGCCTTTTTTTTCTTTCCGTTGATTGATTGATTGATTGATTGAGTGGTGGGGGAGGGGTCGCCCCACCCCCCCGCCACCCACCATGCGCCCACCCACACACACACACACACGCACACACACACACACACACACACACACACTCACAAGTGCGCTGTCCACGCACGGGCGAGGGCGCAGTGGCGATAGCGCACACACACAGACACACACACACTCTTACAATCTTTCTTTCTCTCTCTCTCTTTCTCTCTCTCTCTCTCTCTCTCTCTCTCCCCCTCTCTCTCCCTCTCTCTCTCTCTCTCTCTCTCTCTCTCTCTCTCGCATACACACACAGACAGACACGCGCACACACACACACGCACACACACACACACACACACAAACACACACACAAACACACACACACACACACACACACACACACACACACACACTCACTCACTCACTCACTCGCAACCAATCAATCAATCAATCAATCAAACCCCTTTTTTTTATTTTCAAATTTTGCATCTGCATTTTTTTTAAACACCTCATACCCCTGCAAAAAACAGAAATTCATTTCTTAAAAAATACAGGTGAACTTAGGGACCATATATCTCATGATAAAAAATGTCAAAAAAAAAATCCAGCTTTTCTTTACATATTTTTTAAAAACTTTCTTTAAATCGAATTTAGTTTTTGATTTTTTAAAAATCCTAAACAAAGTTGGATTCCTAAAAAAAAAAAATTGGGGTTGTAGGTCTTAAAATTTCCTACAACCCCATATATATATATATATATATTTACCTATTATTTAATTCAGGAAAATTCTGGTAAAATCGGGTCCGCGGCGCGGACTAGGTCAGCCGCGGACGAGGCCCCATTTGCGTCCACCATCCGAGATCGGACCCGCGATTGCGTCCGCGGGTGTTTCATAGGCTTGATAAGCCCAATTGGTGCCTACGTCCCTGGATGTCACGTTAGCAAACCTTGCAAGTCTCGACGTATGTTTTCACATCATCCATCATTGTGGGCCAGCAAAATTTTTGCATTGAATTTGCTGCAGTCTTTTTATACCCAGAATGTTCGGTTGCATCGTGACCGTCGCCTAAAAATAGATTGTGCATTGACTCTTTATACATAACACACAAGCATTTATTTCCAGCCTTTTCAAGGAACAACAAACCATCAACCAGCACACACTCTTCGAAAGTAGCCTTGTCTTTAGCTTCCGGTTTGTGAATGATCTTAGACATGACCGCGTCCTCGCGATAGGCTTCCACCATAGATCGAGTTACATCGTTAAAAATTCCAAACTCAGTCACTAGCGCGTCCAGATAGTCTTCCCTATGCGATAGTGCATCAACCACTTTGTTGTACTCTCCCATTAGAGAGTCGAGCTCGAAGTCATACATGTCTATGACTTCAATCCACCTCTTGCGTGCATCCGACACTTCAGGGAATTGTCGGGGCCAGTGAAGGTTTTGTGGCCTTCAGAGAACGAGATTGCGGACATAGAGACCATTGTCCACACGGCGGATGATGTGGGAGCTGATCTCGCGGAGGTCAAGGCTTCTTTCTATGTCACGACGACCACCATTATGTCAGACGGAAGGAGTCACGCGATGCTAGACCCATCGTTAACTTCCTTGCCGGCGGTCATGTGGGGTGATGCTCGTTCGGACGATGAACAGGGAGGGTAAGCGGGACCGGGCGCCTGATGTGTTGGTGCGCTGGATCAAGGTGTTTGATGACTTCCCCCCTAAGTGGGTGAACGCCATCTGCACCGACTCCGCCTCGGCGCATGTCGCCGCGGCGAACATGCCCGAGGGGGCTTAAGCAGAGGCCAGAGCATCGACGGATCACGTGGCTCCCATGCGCAGTGCATGTCTGCAATAAGATGTTGTCAGACATTGGCTGTTCGAGCGCGTGGTCCAAGGACATCATCGTGTGGGGGAGAGCGGTGGTGCGCTTCATTAAGAAGCACGGCGCCGCTCTCCATATCTTCCGGGGGGAGAGCAGGCAGATGGGCCTCATTTATCTGTGCGAGACACGTTTCGCATCCGTGTTCGCGATGATGGAGCGTTTGCTGGCAGTGAGGTCAGCATTGGAGAGGACGGTGGACGGCGATACTTGGGGTATGGTCCCTTGGGACCATTCTGTTCGTCAGTTGGCTAGGTGGGTCAGGTGGCAGGTGCGACATGGCAGTTGGTGTGATTCCATGGGCATCCTGTTCCGTATCATGGAGCCTGTGGTGTACGACCTGCTGCGCAGGTTGGACCGTGGAGGGTTGCACATGTCGCGGGTGGTTCAGTGGACACAGGATGTGGCCCGCCAGGTAGCAGAGGAGGTTTGTGCACTTCCGGCTGATGTTGCACACTATATTGTGCAGAGGGTGCAGGCTCGATGCGCTCACATGTTGGAGCCGGCGCACGCCGCTACTCACCTTCTCTGTCCCAGCCGGCGGGGCTTGCGGTACTTCGAGGGCGTAGTCAGTAACTACGACGCGAGCTTAGTGAGGGAGGCGGAGACTTACATCTTGTCGCTGACAGGGTTCAGTGTAGCGAGCCCCGAGTACGAGACCGCATGTGCGCAGTTGCGCGACTTCCACACACAGAGGGGGACGATTTCGTGGGGGGGGGGAGGAGGGAGATAGAGAGGCACAGAGGTGCACCGGCGATGCGGAGACATACGAGTCCGGGTGTTGGTGGTCGAAGTGGGGGCAGTGCGCCCCACAGTTGCAGGTTATCGCTCTTCGTGTGATGTACATGTGGACGTGCTCCACGAGGGTGTACAGACGAAGAAGCGTAACCGGCTTGAGTTCGAGAAGGTCGCGAAGTTGGTTGAGATCTCAGCCAACGTCCGCCTTCTCTCTCATCAGTGGGCAGGCCGCGGGTTTGCGGTGCCATGGACTCTAGATGAGTCTTTGTTGGACGTGGAGGGAGGTATTGGGACTCGCCCCTCGTAGAAGGGGACGAACGAGAGCAGGACGTGGGAGGAGCTCGAGGATCAGAGACGTTCGTGGCAGCGAGACCTGTGTGGGTCCAGAGCTCCTCTGGGTGATGTAGGCAATGTTTTTGGGACTCGAGCCGCCACTTTGCACCCGTACCCTCGAGACGACAGTGATTCTGAGGGTCACGATGACGAGGACGAGCAGGCGGGCCGCGCTACTGCCACTCATGCGACATATGAGCATGATGAGTGGAGCGACCCAGAGGACGTCCGTATACGGGGTGGCGGAGATGACCTTTTCGTTGGAGTTGATTTGGAGGAGTCAGGGGGTCGTCATGGGAGCCCTCTAGAGCGTCAGAGGCCTACGTCCACTGGCTCGCGGTCCGCTGAGCGGGAGAGAGATCCTGGGTCTGTACCTTCGAGGGGGGCAGAGTCGGGGATTGGTGGGGGCGCCCCTGGCCATCGTCCTGCGCATGTTCGTAGTGGCACAGTTGGTTCATCCACCTCTCTTCCCACTTCGATGGAGCAGCTTCATCGACATCCAGCCCGCGATGGTCGATTGCACAGATTGGTGAGGGGCCCGAGACAGCGATTGGAGGACAGATTAGCGGGCGGTCCTTCACCGGTCCAGGGGAACGAGGGAGATAAACAGGGGTTGGCTGGTGGAGATGGTGGTGCATTGGCCGGAGGTGGAGGCGGTGCCGAGGTTGCTGCGGCGGTTGAGGCGCACAAGATTCGGAGTGGCGGGGATGAGGGGATACCGACGGGTGGCGGAGGCGGTTTTAGTGAGTTTGGTGACGTGGGTATGCCCCCGGGAGAGAGCGTGGGTCTGCCCCGGGGAGAAAGCGAGTCCTGCGGGGACATCAGTGTGGGTATGCAGGACTTATTGGGACAGATCAGCTTCCTGGACCCGACTAGTTTCTCCCCTGCCATGCGCGTAGAGGTGATGTCGGGGGCAGAGGGGGATGAGGACCGGACACTCCCTGGAGAGACATTTGCAGAGAGGTTGGATAGGCTTGATAGTCGTCGAGCTGGCCAGATGGCACAGAGGGACCCCAGGATGCAGGAGTTGGCCCGTCTTGCGGCCGAGGATCGACAGAGACAGCTGGGGACATTTACGCCGGCGTCCCTCGACGCAGCGCCAGGTGCCCACACGGATCCTCCGGCAAAGGTTCACGATACGACGCAGCGGGAGGCGGCTTTAGACGAGGCTTCGAGTATGGGAGTGGATGTTCGGCAGGGGACGCACGAGAGCGGGTTGGCACCGCCAGAGGAGCCACGTTCGGAGCCGGTGCAGCCTCCTGCCATCCTGCTGAGGCCCGAGGAGACGTTGCATGAGGTCGCGGACGTGCCTCTGCCCACGGGTTTGGTTGAGGGTGCCGTGCAGATGTCCCCGAGTCTGGAGGACATACAGTAGGGGCAGTCAGTGGGCGTTGATGATATTCGCCCATCGGCACAGGCGGAGGGGATAGCACCAACCGACGGTGGGGAGGGGGGCGTGGCGGGGGCCGTTGATGTTGGCGGGGTGGGGGTGCCTGTTTAGGCCGATCCGATATCCACGTCTGTGGGGGGAGATCACGCACAAGTCGACAGGCGTGACGCAAACGGACAGGAGATGCCACAGACTTTGGTGGTTCGCACTGCTATGGGGCCAGTGGTGCCACATCAGGCACCGTTTTTGGAGGATCATAGGCGTCGTACACATGGCGGTGGCCCGGTCGATGAGCGACGTGTAGGCAGGGGCGCGTGCATACCTCCGGTCCCTACTTTTGCGCCGTCACAGGAGAGGCCTGAGATTAGGTATGTGGCTACGCCTCGGGGCAGCCTCGCTTTTGGTTGTTTGATCGCTGAGGAGTTGGAGGAGCACGGCAGGACGGATTTGACGGAGATCGACCGGCTTATTTTCAGGACAGTCCCAAAGGAGGGGCAGATGCCTCACGTGTAGGACTTGTCTTGGGGGCCAGTCAGCCCCAGCATACCTTCTGGAGGTTCCTTCGCAGCGCCATCTGGCGGGGCTGCAGGCCCTTCGTCACCCGCGACTGTAGCTCCGATGGAGGGCGGCAGTCTCACCCCAAGGTCGGTTGCCCGTAGAGGGAGAGACACTATCGAGCGTGTGCGGGCCTTGCTGGACACCATGTCGTTCGGTCGCACTGATCGGCCATGGAGTGAGACGAGACGGGTGACGACGACGAGTGTCGGTCGTCAGCCAGGTTTGAGAGGGGTTTCCACGAGCGTGAGACGTCGAGATGTTGCAGCTTCTGGGTTTGGTGGTAGAGGCGGTGGCGGCGGTGGCAGTGGTGGCGACGACGACAGTAGACGTGAGGGTGCAGGCGGTGCCGCGGCGAGCGCAGTGGATCCGCCCTTGATGTACGGTTCGAGAGAGGCGTCGATTATTTTGCAGGAGCCTGATGTTGTTACACGACCGAGGCAGGTCCGACTTGTGCCCTTAGATCGACGCCAGGAGGGGGAGACTTCAGGAACAGACGGTCTACCTATGGCATGCGAGTCACGCCGACGTGTTGACCTGGCAGCCGCAGGCACCGGGACGGTGAGAGGCAGGATAGTCATTATGGACGACGACCCCGACGAGACTCCCGAGCCTTCCACTGCCAGACGCGGCGGGCAGCGTCAGAGAGATCGAGGGCGTGGCAGTGGTCGGTCCCACGCACGAGGTGGTCATCGGTCCGAGCGAGATTCGTGTGCACACGACGATTGTTGATGGACTACGGACTTGTGTTTTCTTGACTTTCTCAGTGTGGTTCAGTTTTTTGTTATCCATGATAGACGTAGTGTTTCGTGATGTTGTATTATAGTCTACTTTTCAGTCGGTACTTTTCTGTGCAGTTCGGTACTTCGGAGATTGTATCTTTTTAGTCTATTTTTTAGTCTACTTTTTCGTCGGCATTTTTGGGTTGGTACTTCTTTCCATAGACTGGCGGGGCTTTGGCACGACATGTCAAATTTTTKCTATTATCCATGCTATATTGGTTTGCGTTTTGCTTCGATTATATCTTGGTGTTTGCAATGTTTCTGTTTTCAGACGACGAGTGTTTTGTGTGCATTCAGTCCGCCCCTAATGTCTCTGAAATCTCACTTCCCGCTGTATGAGCACGACAAAAACCTTGGTTCGGGGACGTGGGCGGACTTGGGGGGTTTGGGTTTGGCGCGATTTGAACACGCACGAAACCCAAACCCCCAAAGTGCTTCCAGGCCCCTCAAAACCCAAACCCTCCCATCGCCCCGAACACCCCCCCCCCCCCCCCAAAAAAAACACCCTTTTTTTTTTGCCTACAACCTTTTTTTTTAACTTCTCAAACCGCTTGTTTTGCGATATATATATAATTAAAAAAAACAGATATTTTGGAAAAAAAATGAAAACAAACGTCGCAGTGTGTGTGTGTGTGTGTGAATGTGTGTGCGTATTTATGTGTGTATTAAAAATAAAAATAAAAACCGTGCCAGTGTGTGTGCGAGGGTGTGAATTTGTGTGTGTATGTGCGTGTGTGAATGTGTGTGTGTGTGTGTGTGTGTGTGTATTAAAAAAAAAAAAAAAACGTGCCCGGGTGGCGCAGAGGTACGGGCGGAGGGTGGTGCCGACGGACAATGGCGGGGGGCTGACGCGTTTGGGGGCGGTGGCCCTCCGGTGGGACGGGGGAAGGGTGTGGGGCCTCGGCTGGTGGCGGGGGGGGGTGTTTTTAGCACTTTGGGGGTTCGTCGAACGCGGACCACCACCCCGTAGCCCCCGACGCGCGCGCGCGCACCGCGGGACCGCGTTCAATTTTTTTGCGCGCGCACAAGCGCAGCGCGTTTGAACACGAATGAACGCGGGCCGGGGGGGTATGAACGCGCGCGTTTGAACGTGAACGCGCGTACACGACGTTCAACCGGTTGCACAGAGCGATCAGGCGAGCTAGACCCTGCATCCTTAAGGGAGTGAAAGGCAATGAGGATTTGCTTCTCAGGTAGGAGCTTCTGGAGGTGACCGTAAGAATTAACGTTCGCCTCCCAATTATCAAAATTCTCTTCTTTTTTCCCACTGTAAGAGACAAGAAATTTGACCTTCACTGGCTCCCTACATAGGCGGGCTTCCTCCTCCTTTGGAGCTACTAACTTGATTCCCTCGATCGTGCCTTTGTAAAATCTCTCCATATTCGTTAGTCGGGCTTGAATCTCAGTGTCCATGCGCATCATCATATCGTGCACAAAATCTCTAAAGCCTACGAGCATGGACTACAGGGCTATATCATGGCCCCTCGGATAATTTATTTGCTCCTGTTGAGCCCGGATCATCACTTCCACACTCTTACCGATGATCCCCACTTATCCTGGAGATCCGCTTGCGCGGCCAAACGTGCATGTTGCTCCCTTGTTGCGGCCAACTCTTTCTCCAACTTTTTTGCCACGTCTATGTCCCTCCTTCTCTGCCTTCTAAGGCGCAACTTCCACTCTATCCTCTTCTCCTCCTCCAATGCCTGACGCTGCACGGGATCTTGTACTGCCTGGATCTCGGCTATTGTTGTGTCCCTCTCATCCTGGGGAATATACATCATTGCTTCTTTATCTTCTCCCATAGATAAATTAGCCACCCACTCAGTCACCATCTTTTCCAGGTTCTTCTCCTCCTCCGTGGTATCACTCCACTCCCCTTCTTCTTCCCTCCTGACATTTCTTGGCAGGGAAATTTCTTCTTCTTCTTCTTCTTCTTCTTCCACTGCCTTCAACTTTTGTTCTTCTTCTTTCTTTAGTCTTTTTTTTTTTTTTTTTTTTTTTTTCAAGGCTATGAATCTCCCTCGGCGGCGGCCATCCATGGCCGAATCCGCGGATGCGGCCAGTACGCCGACCCCGCGGACGCGCGACTTTGAAGCCACGTGGCAGCCGCGGGGGAGCGACTTTCGGAAATCGGGAGACGCCACGTGGCGGCGCATCCCCGGCCCCACCATCCCCACAAAAAAAAAACGAAAAAGATCAACTTTTGG